TTGCGCTGCGGCTTTATTATTCGTCCAACTGCCAACGGAATTCGACCCTTTGGAAATTCATTCCTTCCGTCACAGTTGGAATTTTGGTAATTTGTATTGATTGGCGTCAAACTGAAGACCAGGCGTAAAATTAATTTGCAGAATAAGGATAGAAAAATTTCACAGTTAACAAGCTATAAATTATTATTATTTTTTTCTTTTTACCAAAATACCCCATTTGAAATGTAAAATTTCGTCTAAAACAAATTATATTCAGCACAAAATAAGAGGATCGACCAAAAAAATCTCATTCCCCCTCCCAAAGTTTCATCATCATCGCAAATGTGAACAGAACAATTTGATCTCTTCTCTTTTAAAGTATTGTTTTCACAACTCGTCCCTGTTGTTGGCAGAATTGAGTGAACCTGCAATTATAGCCTGGCTTCTTTTTAATTAATGTTGCCGCAGAAGCCTCACAGGTAATCATCAACAGAATATTAAATCGGAATAATGGTTGCAGTACAAAATATTCATTACATTTTTTCAATATCAGTTTTTGCAATGAAATGGGAGTAATTTTTTATGTATTTTGAAAACCATCATCTGGATTACATTTTTATTTTTGAACTAATTAAGCATCTAGAAAATAAATAAAAATTTTTATAAATATTGTTAATATCTTTCCATTTTTCTATTGCTTGCAGCTTAATCTATGATATAAATAATATAAAAATAGTTCGTCTTTGCAACATTAAATTAGTTGAATTTAAATAACCATTACGGTAAACAAAACAAAAAACGCAATAATTACTTGAAAGAAAACGTTCATTTTTTTTAAAAAAGGAAAAAGAAAGGGCCTAAATTTTGAAGAAGTGTATTTTCCTGAGGGGAGAATGAGTGAAAATGGTGCAGCAATATTTTCCGAGGGCGGCTCCGTGACGGGCAAATCTGGCTGATGGCTTAATACTGTAATGAAATATATTCGCTCGCTCGCACCAGTCATTGCCTGAGCCGGGAAATTTATTTCCGCAGAGTCGTCGTACGTGTGCACCTCACATAACGAAGAACGCGTGTGTGTGCTCGAGAGAAATAAACGAGGCCGTCGCGCCGCTGGAGCCGTAATAACGCACTCGAGAAAGCACCTTGCTGGGTGCAGAATGAGCAGCCCTGCCATGCCATGCACCCCGGCCCCATGCGCTGGGTGCGCCGCAAATTGAAACTCGCTCGCAGTAAATCGACCAAATCTGCCTTTGATGAGCTGCCAAGAGATTCTCACGAGAGAGGAAAACAAATGGCAGATTTTCACCTGTCTTGGAGTAATTGAAAAAGAAAAAACTACCTGCGCGTGTTGATTTAAAAAGACTCCAGGTCGATAAGAATTATTCCTAAAATTGGCGTTTATTTTAATGTCAAATTTTGTTATAAATTTATTTTGCTTTATTTGCTTCGGAAGATGATTTTGTTAAATTTTCGCTAATGTTATAGATTTCGAGCAAAAATAAATAGTATTTTTGCCACAAACAATAAAAGGTAATTGATGATAATGTATCAATTTAAATAGCCTATAACCTTGAAACTGATAATTATAGAAATAATTTTTCATTAAAACTTTTAGTTGATAAGTTTCATTAGCTCAGGTTAGATACAAAATAAAAATTAAAATCATATAATAAATTTTTTGTCTTTAAACTTTAAACGAAGATCATATCATTAATTCTTCCAAAAAGAAATTTTATATTTGGATTTATTTGGACTAAAAATTTATATTGAAATTCATTGATGAAGGAGCAGATTATTTTAAAATAAATTTAATAAAAACTCATTTATCTTGTAAATATTGATAATCAAGTCCTCGCTTCCGTACCTGCAAAAAAAATTAAATCGTTGAACCGAAGACAACACAGAAGCTGACATTATTGGTAATGACAGTCGCGATTTGAAAAGTGCAAAACTAATATCGTACAAGTTGCTGCTCGAGACACATTTCATTAAGTCTCGCGAGTTTATCAAACGTCTGCATTGTCTGTGTTGCTGATTGCGCCGCCGTTTCCAGCACAAACGGCTTGATAAGCTATTAAACGCAAAATAAACTCTCCATTATTGTTTTACACTGATTGTCATTTGAAGACGACTTTCGCAATCGCAACGAGCGAGCTTTGTCAGCCGGGAAAACATGTTTTTTGCAGCTTTTCTCATTCATAAATCCAATGACGAAAAGGGAAGGACGCGTTGCACTCTCGCCGATGAAGCTCGTCTCATGTTATTGTCGACAGACATACGGCTCTGTATATTTCTCCAATGCAAATTTATCGAGCAGTTTTCCTATGAAATTGAATTTTATCCGGAAATTCAATTTGCGATGAGCTTTAAAGAGCTGTAATATTTTGTAAGAGATTGATCTTTTACAATATTTTTTTTATATAGCGCAATGTCATGGAATCAATTATTTGTAAATAAATTTTTTTTTTAATTAGTTAATTTTCATGAAAACCACGCTGAAAACTCTGAAACTTAATAATTGATCATAATTTGAAATAAAGATTAGATTTAAATTAAAATAACAGAAGAAAATCATTTAATTGCATTAATAGTATCAATTTTTCATTAAATGACTCTATCATTAATCTAATGAAAGAATCTAAACAATATGTGACAATCATTCAAACTATAACAAAATTCATGCTAAAATTGATGTAGTTTTTATGATTTTGTGGAAGAATTTCGCGATGGAGGATTCATTCACGGAGTTTTAATTTAACTTTGGCTTTTTTAGAGTTCCTTGTTTTGAATTGATTTTTCTACGACTAAAAAATCCCTCTCGAAAAAAGCCATATTTAATTTCACATTTCATTTGACGAGTTAATTAAATACACAAATTCCAAATGCAACAGAGAGAGAAAAATTAATTAATTCTTAAATAAACTATTGTCTTTTTTTGCGTTACATTTAATTGAAATACATATTAAAGTTTGATTTATTGATGAAGAAATAGCCCCAATGCAATTGTTGAACGCAAGTTTAACATCCCTTTTAAAACAGATTCAGAATTTATGAGACTTTATTGGAGGCCGTTATCAGTGTAAATGGAAATAGCGAGACCGAACACATATAAAAGCAGCGGGAACAATAAAGGGCTCCATGATTAATGCCAGGTGCATAAAACGTGGCGCGGGGTGTATTTTTGCAGCGAACAGAAGGGGTGTGTTTTACAAGGGCATTTTTACGACTCCTAAATAACAATAGAGAGGCGTGCAAATACATTAAGTTTCGCACCGAGAGAGAAGATACGGGGGGTGTAATTGTGTGCCTATAAATTTGCAAACGCTCGCAATTTATTCCCGCCCGCTCGGGGAATTCATAACTTATTGTTTACATTCGCCGATGTGATGCATTATTTCACACGCGAATAAAATACCAAAAAAAAAAAGGCGCACGAAAATAAATAAAGCCGCTGTCACATTTCGGTGGCAAAAAGAACAAGTTGGCACGCGCGCCCGCAACTTTCACTTTTGGGAAATAAGAAGAAAAAAAATTTACTTTATTTGGAAAGGTGTTTGTTGTTTCATAAATGCAAGTTTTGCACCGCGAGAGCAAATTACGCGAATAAATTCAGTCGGAATTGCTTTACTTTGGACAGTTAGTATTAATGCGTGTGTCGAGCCGCGCCAAAATTAAAACTAAAGTATCGCAACAGCTTTAAATTATTGCTTCATCTCATTCACACAATTCAAACTTTTCATTCATATTGTTTGAACAAAAACCAATTAAATTAATTAAAGCTGAAATTGTCTTCATTTCAATTGGTATTAAGATTTGTGAAAGGTGTTGACGCTGAACGAAAATTCAATTTAAACATGGAAAATGACGAAAAAGAGCCTTGATTTTCACTTTTAATTTCACCCTCTCCGCTTCAAACCACTCAATTTAATTATTGCCTTATTTGCTTTTTACTCTTTCCTCTCTGATAAAAGTGCTCTGAATATTTCAATTAGGAACCGCCAACACGGTGAAAGTGGTTTTAATTGGCAAAAAGCTCCTTTTTATGACGCTAATTGATATTTTTTTTTAAAAAACAATTTTTTCAATATTTGATAGCATTTCCCAAAAAAATTCTGTAAAAACGGAAAACAATTTCATTTCTGCCTTATTTTTTTTAAAAGCTTTTTCCTTACACCCGTGAAATGAGATTTAAAAAATTGAGACTTTGGAGGTGGAAACAAGAGGGCGAGTTTTAGGCATTTATATCGAGAAGCGAAATCTCCCGAGGGAAAAGCGCGAGAGTGACGATTTTCTTCTCTTTTGTCGTCTCTATCAGCAGCGAAACGCGCCTGAATATGAAATATTGAGCGCGATGGATGCACTGTAAGGTGCGGCGAATTCCTCTCTCGCGCAGAGAAGAGAGTGCCGAGCTGCGGATCCGGTGGAAAATAAATAATTCATGAGATCGGCGGCACAGTCATCATCACAGGCGCCAGCGACACCAGCGAGTGGCAAACATGCAAGCCGAATAGCCGATTAAATTACAGCCGATGACCGCATGTAAATCAATACCCGTGCCACGATCAAGAATTAAGGATTTTTTCATTTTCTGCAACAATGGCAAGCGTTGTTTTCCCGCAAAACTATAAATTTCTGCTAATTCCAGTGAGAATAAATGAAAAGGTCAAAAGGCGAACACGTAAAGGTCATCAGGGGTTGTGTCTTTTCTCCGAAATATGAAAATATTATTTATTCTTCTCAGTCGATACCAAAATTTGAAAATCAGATTTAACGGTTTATTATTTTTTCCCTGAGAAATTCTCCGGTGAAAAACCTTTTGAAAAATGGAATTACTTTTTGTCGCTATTATTTCTCGCAATATTGTTTCAGAGTGACACACGTAAATTAAAAATATTCCGCGTGTAACTCGAGTCCAAATACGTGCCGAGAAAGAGGAGTCACGTGACGTAACATCACGTGATTTTGTGGCGCTCAAAGTTGTTTGGTTGGCACTCCTTGAATTACGTCATTCTTTTGTTTCCCGATTCCCTACTTTCCCTCCTTTTCTTGTGCTGAGTGTGTCGCCGGCCTCTGAGACGAATCTTTACCCCTTAATCAAACCCTCACCTTAGGGGTAAGTCAATTCTTATTACGCCTAAAATGTTCCAGAATAGCTGCTCTTTGAAATGATATGTAATTTGTACGAGTAGAGAATGTTTTTCATGGCTAAAATCTCAGTTTAGAAAGTCCCAATTTTGAGGCAGTTGTTATTTTATTTTTCATAATCGAATTCGACTTAAGTAGAAAAATATGTATGTTGTATTGTTCTACTGTGGAAATCAGTGGCAGCCTCATTTCTACAAGAAAAATTATCTATAATTTGAATTCAATAATATTCAATAGATTTTTTGTTTAAGAATTAATTGACTACATTATTTTTTACGACCCTGATCAAAAAACACTAAGATTTTTTTCTAATTAAAAAATTTATTAATTTTAGTTCATCATCTGTCAACTGTGAAGTGGAAAATTTGAAGTTTTTAATTCAATAAGAAGGATTTAATTATCAAATCGCGCGCAGACATGATCGCTGTGCTGACCTGTTCGCTCTCGTCAAACATGAGCAGCACCAGCCAGCGAGAGGAATGCAATCATAGGACATACCAAAAAACTCCATTTGAAGAGAGGAGAGAGCACGAAAGGCCAGATCCACATCTAGTGAAGTTTGTCTCGCCGAATTGAGCCGATTTTTGCCTACAAAAGCATCCAAGTGTACGGAATGCCCAGGTAGGCTCACAAGTCCCATTTTTCCATCAGAAATAATTGTCACAATTCCATTCTTCATTTGTCTTGGTTCCCACCAAATACTTTTTGCCCTAGTTTGATAATTTAGTTTTTTTTATATTTTTCTTATGGTGGCCTCTTGATTACAAGTTTTATAATTTATTTTCCTTGCTTTTAAAAATTGTAAAGTGACCTTTTGTTGCAAATGAGACTCGAACCAAATATTAATTTTCAGTCATATTTTGCTGATTTCAACAAGTTAAATAACGTTAAATTCACAGAATCAGCAAAACGGTTCACAATTTTAAATTAACTTCAATTAAGTAGCACAGCTTTGGTCTAAAAAATTTTAACACGTGGGCTGTGGACCAATTTGGGAATATATTAATTCAAAAATTTGAAAATGTCAATAAATACTGGTTTTTGCTGCAGTGACGAAAGGTCAGATGGGCCTTGGGGTGTTTTTGCCCAAAACTGATCCGTCACACCCACGTTCAAAACATATTTAAGCGGCTTTTCGGTCAGTATTGCAGCCCACGGTATTAACTAAAAACTGTAAATTGTTCATGCCTCCATTACCTAAATTTATTTATAGAGGTTTTCATGTTCAAATTATTGACAGGAAATTAACATTAAAAGGAATCCTTGTTTTAAAAATTACATGTTTTAGATAAAACCTTCAGGGTGGCATGAAAACTATGGATTTTAATGATATTTTTTCTCAATTTCCAAATTTGAATGAGAATTTAAACTTTCTGAAAATAAATCAACCGAATAATCATGCGAGTGACAAAATAAAATGCATTATTTTGTGTATGTTAAGAACCAAAATTATTTTGCCAGCTTGACTTTTTATCAATTATAGCCGGGCCAACGTTGAGACTTTTTTTGCAAATTCGTTCCCAGCTCAGTATATTTCGCAATGTGTGCAAATGAATTGAATACACGATTTATGAATAATTTCTTTTTAACAGGCACAGCGCCGAGTCCGTTGAAAGCAAACACGAGCGAGGGCGGCTGGATTTTTTGCCGGGCGGAAGTTGCCGCGAGTCCATTATCACTGGGCCGCGCGCGCGGATAATTGGAGGGCGCTCTGAGCGGGATGGAGTGGGTATGCAACCCGCAGTCTCCAACCAGTCAGTCTTGGGCTGCGCTCGCTCTGCAAGGGACGTGCTCCTCACTCGCTCCCTCGCTCGCTCGCTGCCCCGAGTGCGACTTGAAGCAACTTTTCTTCCTCAACGCCGACATGATCTTCGCAACGGCGCTCCTCGCCCTGGCCTTAGCGCTCAGTGAGTACTTAAAAATTTTCTTCTCATTTTATTCCAATCAAAATAAAAAATAAGAGAGTTTTCGCTCCGGGGAATTGCTAAATCGCTCTTTGGAATTCTTGAGCTTCATTAGCCTCGTTTAAAATGCCGCGTCTGCGGAAGAAGCAGAACAACATTATTAAAATTCCTCGGCGCCAACTTTACATTTGCGCCGGCATTTCGAATTCTCGCCTTAATGAGCTCCTCTTCCAACTTTTCCTAAGTTGAAATCGTTAATCCTACGCTTATACCTCATTCATCGTGGGCATCACAGTATATAAATTTGCTTAAATTGGAAAAGTTTATTAAATAAATTGCACGTTTCATTCACTGTTGGATATTTAAAAAAATATCAAGACAAATATTTTTTTAACCCCTTTTTTATTCTGACAAAGGATCTTTAAAATCTATTTATACTGATTGAAAAATTGCGAGGCTTATAATTTTTCTTTTACTATTTTACACAAAAATTGTGTTTTGAGAATTTTTTACTTTATGCTGGATTTTTCCAAAATTTTGTATTTCTTTTATTATTTAGCAAAATATTTTAAAACAAACACATAAAAAAGCATTGTTAAAATATACGATTATAATAATTATATTAACGAGAACTTCCAAGATTTAAAACTGAAATTAAAACTACTCATCCTTTTCCTGTAAGATGAATGAACATTTTTTTATGTCGACTGAACAACTTATTTTTTTTCTATCTTAAATCGAGCGATATGAACGTGATTTTTTAAAATTACTATAGATTAGTCCGACAAATATTGAAATAAAAAAAAAGCTTTGGAAATTTCCGTAAAATATTATGTTAAATTTCAAATATTTAGTTCTCCAAATGTCTAAAACTTTTCTCACTGTTTCTCACTATATCTCTTTAGTGTGCAAAATATCTTTAATTTTTCTTCTGGTCTCTTATTTTCATGAAACATGACTCATAAAAAAAATTAAAGCCATTTTACCTGCGCAAAATGATTTATAAGACACTTTTTAAATCAAAAGTTGACTGAAATGTCACATTTAATAAAAAAAGTAATTTATTTCTTTCAGTTCCTGAATTAAAATGGAGTTTATTTTTTATTTAACTTTTGCAATTTTTATGAGAAAATTCAAACAGGAACTGGCGAAAGAAAAATAAAACAGGGACAAAATTCAACAAGATAAGACTAATCCCGTTTCCGTTCTTTTTTTTTCATGCAGTCAGAGACTTTTCACGAATGCAGGGGAGGGGGATTAAAAATTATGCTAATGCGCTTAACGCTGGTTTGATTAGACGCGCTTTTTGCAATCAGGCCGCGCTCCTAACGAGGCTGGACGCAGCCTTTCCATCCAATTAGAAATTCGGTCTTTGGTGGAAATTCCGACTGGGAATTAATTCTGAGCTCAGGAATCGGCGGGCTTTGTGTTCTGGCGGCGGAGAAATGTGCGCCCCTCGCTGCATGACTTACAATGCATATTTCGCCGATTGCCGGTCGTGCGTTATCTCGTGTTCTTCGCCCGCGCGCGCGTTAACGCGTGAGAATACATAAGGAGGATAAAGGGAAAAGAGAAAGGCGAGCCGAGATGCTTTATTTATGTTGATATTTGCTGGAGAAATAATTTTCCATAGAATAGCGATTTGCTCTTTTACAATTTGCCCGAGCGCACGATGAAGAATTATGAAAGGTCAAACGATCTTATCCATATTTGACGGACTTGAAAGATCATTGCGTGGGAAGAAAAAAAACAAACATATTTATAATTTACCTGCGATTTACCACAATTTTATGGTTGGAAACTTTCAAAACTTATATACCAATGCTATTTTAAATTTAAAAATTAAGCTTTTAATACACATGTTAACTTTCAATATTATTTTCCGTATCTACGCAGAAACCACAGATAAATTCACATCCAATTCATAGCAATCAAAACAACAACTTTTTTGCTTAAATTTAGTTTTATACCTTGTATTGTTTTTTTTTTTTTTTTGTAATTTATTATGTTCGTATCAAAAATCAGCTTAATTTTGATGGGTTTTTTGGTAGAAAATCAATAGCACGCTCTATAATTAACTCATCAAAAGAATTTGAAAACAACATGATTCAAATCCTCCTATAATTTTTTAAAAGATTACGTTTTGGTCATGATTTTCATTACCATTTTAATTGGTTTAAAAAACCTTACGTTGAAGTGGCGAAAAAAAATCCAGTTGATTTTACACTGCTAATTATTTCAAGTGGAATATTAATTTGTCAATTCTGAAATAGGCATTTTTTGGAAATTAAACTTGCTTCAAGTATTGGAAAGCTTTAAAATATCACAAAAATAATTATCATAGGAATGAAATTGAAGCTGCTCAATTAAGAGAAAGGCAAAAGGCGTGCAAGAATCGTGAAATGTGCAACCCTTTTATTCGTATATAAACGGGGGAAAATCAGGCGTCGCACGCCCGAAGTGCAAAAAGGCAACGAGCAGCGAATTCAATTATCTCGAGTCGCTCGCCGGCAGCAGTAAACACACGCAAATGTACGTATATAAATCGGGGTGCATGTTCTCGTGTCAGGGACGGATTTGATGAAAAACTCGGTGAGCGAGAGAGCGAGCGAGCGGGCGGGAGGGTGAGCGAGTTGAGCATAAAACCTCGCCGCTTTATATTCAAAACAAGAGTCGGACAAGTAATAAAGTCGTTCGACTGCTGATGGAATTGGATTTGCTCACTGCGACGGAAAGAGAGAGAGATAGAAAACGGTTGCTTGGCTTTTCTCATTATTCAGCAGAGTCAAGTTCAGCCCGAGCCAAAGAGAAGAAACCAGGTAAATCTCAGTTGTCACTTTTTAAGGACAAGGTTTTTTTTGCCAATCGTTTTGAGACCGAAATTGAACGTGAAAGTCAATAAAAATATTCAAATTTGTAATATTTCTTTGAAGTTGCTCTGTTTTTCAAGAAAAATATATAATTTTGCTGGTCTTTTGGTTGTTGAAAATTAATTCAATAATTTTTTCAATTGAGCAGAAAAAAAGGATTATCAATTCACTAATAATTGATCTTAAACAAATTGACCATTTGGAAAATACAAAAAAACCTTTAGTAAGAAATTAAATTAACTATAAATGATCAAGTATTGATTTCAAATTTCTCTTTTGAAGATTGTCCAAGTTTATCCTCAAGAAAGTTTCCTCTGTTGTGGGCAAAGAAGGTTATGCAACCGCAAAACAGCTGCGCCGAGCAGATTGCCTACTTTACAACTCCGCGGGCGAGTTACGACTTTGTTTGTTTGACATTCGGCCCATTCGGGGCTTGTCACGAGCCAGCGACGTGCAACTCTTGTCGCACTAACGACTAATAAAGCGAGCAACAAACCTGCAGTTCGGGAGCTTCTAAAAAATGAATTTCCGCAGCAAATCTCACATCAAGGAGGAGGAAAAAAAAGTAAATTCGAGCACTCGGATAAAGAAGAAGAAGCTAGAGAGAGGAAATTGTGCGAGATCGCGCACAAAAAGGCGCCGCCGCGAGCAAACTTCTTCTTCTCGCAGGTGGAAAAAGAATTATGACGTTTTAATAAAAACGTCCATCTGCGTCGACGAGATATAGCCAGGAAATGCTGGGATCTTTTCCATAAAATACACGCGCTCGCCGTGCCAAATGGGTTTTCTATTGGCGGCGTTATCGGCCCTGCAGTTTGTTTGCCGCCGGGCAATAAAAGATCCGGGCTGGCCGGCGAATTTGTGGAAAGAAGAAATGTACTAGTCAACTAGTCCAACACCTACGACAGTTATATTGCGAGGAAAAGGGAAAATCTCCTTCCTTCCAGCCGGCCGGCCTTGCCTTCAGAATAATAATAATAAAAGATAGCGGCTCGTTTGCCGCCCCAATAACTCGCTTTCCTCCGTTTTGCTCGATCCAGAGTTTGTATCATTGCAAGGACATAATTGGGACCAATATTTTCCTCATCCACGATTCATATTCAATTATCTTCAAGATGTTTTCCTTGAGATTCTATTTTTATATCATGTTCTTGCTTGACGAGTTCAATTATATCAGAAGTTAATGAAGCTTCATTTTTTTAATCAACTTTATTGACTATTTTTGTCCGTTTTTATAAGAAAATGAGAGAGAAGTTTTTTTAAATTAATGAAGATGGATTTTATTTTGTGAAATTTAAATATTAAATTACTATTGGGTGACTTTTCAGAGTGGAACAAATTGACTTTTTCGTAGCGAAAAATGGAAATTTTCACTTCAAAGCGGGCTATTTCGTTATCCAAGATAATAAATAATTTCTTAATTCACTTCTATAGTTTGTAAAAATTTTACAAAAATATATTCCGTTAATGGCCAAAAATGGCTCCCATTGTTGTAAAGACTTGTTTTTAAGGTGCTATCTTATTTCTAAATCGTCTCATTATCAATTATATAATTTGGACTTTATTTTCAAAATTAAATTATTAATACTGTAATTTAGCGACCCAAAGTTTCTTTAGGTCATAAAAGAGAGGGTTCAGAAGTTAAAAACCGCAATCGAATCACCATGAAAATGTAAATTAGATGAAAAAAAATAGTCAAATAACTTTTTTGAGAAAATCAATAGTGCTTTTGAAGCAGCAAAAGAATGAAAACAATTGTTAATTAAAATTTCAAATTATTGGTGATTTAAATTTTGTGACGATTTGTTTAAACAGGATGCAGCTGAAATGTCTAAATTCGCATTCAACAAATTTTAGTTGAACGAACGCGGCGTTGAAAGTAAATAGTGTCGATCCGCAACAGCCCCTGGGGCGAAACCCTCGGAAAAAGGGTTTGATTTCGGTGTCTGTGGCGTGTCCGGCCGACGAAATAAAAGCGTGCAGCAGATTCTTTCTCGGCTGGCGTGGAGAAGAACGAACGATCCGTCCCTGGTGGCCCGAAAAGGTGTGACCGGAATGTCCGAACAGAAAGAAAGAGAGAAAATTCCTCGGTCGAAAACTGAGTGACCGCCGCTCAGGGAGTTGGAAAAACGC